CGGCGGTGGCCGCTGTTTGGAACTCGTGAACTGCGGGTCTGGCTTTAAACCTCTGCTAATAGCGAAATAACCTGCCCTTGCGCTGGAATAGTGCAGCTCCCCAGCGACCTCCAGGCGAAGGCCAGTGTTCTAAGGTCAGGCTGTGCTGCTAGGCTCTGCTCTCCGAGGGCCCGCACGCCTGGTGCGCCGGTTCGGTGGGAAATTTGGCAGCCGCCGCCGGAGCGGAGAGCATCTGTCTGCTCCCCTAGCGCAGACCTCGCAGCTGGGCACGGCTGTAACAGCTGGGCTGAAGGCTGCTAATTGCTTAAGCCACTGTAACCGAGTTAGATGTAACCGTACGCCTGGGCTCCTTCCACAGAAACGTAAGTGACATCAAAAGGACACAGCTGCTGGATAACTCACCTGCGGGTTACTCTATCATAATGGTGTAAGTGGTAAAACCCTCCCAGAAACAAAGCCAAAGCCTTAGCAACAACACCCCCTCCCCCCCAACGAACAACCACCAAAAAAAACCCAACCCCCCAAAACGTGTATGTATGAAAAACTTAGGAGTTCTTTGAATCCCGTTCCATCTTTGAAACGTTATACTCCCTTCCTGTGTCATGTTTAAGCTTCTTTTCTTGATACGGCCAGAAATTCAATCATTCAAATTCCAGATCATCTATATGATTTCCTACCCGACTGGTTACTTGACTACTGGTGACCAGAAAAAGGGCCTGAGTTTCATGTATGCAGCTGTTCATTCTCTCAATCGTTTACACAAGGTGTTTTCCTCCAGCTAACATGAAGGTTGGAAAACCAGAAAAAAAAGTCTTTGCCTCTGCGTCTTAATGACAACACACTCACCAACTGCAACTGCTCCAACAATTTATTCAAATTCCTATGGCAGCATTCCCTTTTGTGTCCCCCCCTCCGCCCTTAACTGCATTTCTGCCATCAAAAACCCAAGGCGTATTTGCACCTTGCAGTACTTTGAATACCTTTCCAAAGCTGGCCTTCATTCCCATGTTCCTCTTACCTCAACTGCTCTTGCTGGTTACAGTTCAGCTTTGCCTGGAAAGAAGGTGCGATTGTTTGTGCCGACCCTCCGCGTAGAGTGGATTTAGCTCTATCTGCACCTTTGTCTGTCTTTTCTCTTTTCCCCGTGTCTCCCTTGCTCATACCTTTTCACAACCTCTGGCCTGCGTTATTCAGGAGGTCAGCGTATCACATTGGTCCCTGCTGGCCTTAAAATCTATGAATCTTGTCTTGTATTGTCTGCCTCCCAGCTGCTTATCTTCCTTCTCACTCTCATTCTTTTGTTTTGTGCCTCGCGTTCTTCCTCACTGGTATTAATCTTCCCACTGATTTTTTTAACTGCATCTTGGCAATAAACAAATCTGTGGAAATATTAATCTGAATTCGTGGCTTTTGTTCACTGCATCATCTCTTTCTCCTCTTATTCCCCATCTGAATATGAACCGCAGGCAGAATGCCAGAGGGTTGGTATTCTTTGCATTTTATGTCCTTTTTACTTTAGCCAGCACCACACAAAATATGTGCTAACTCACAGCCTAAGGGTGGAGAAGGTGTTTACTAAATAAAAGAACCAAATCATGAAAGGAGCAGGAGAGGCTGGGAGGACTAAATGTTGCTGTTTGCCACTTGTGAACGGAAGCTTTTTTGCTCTGCTGTAGTTAGGATCACTACTAGCTGCCTATCTTTGACCTGTGATAACAGCTTATATTTTTATGCAAAAGTACACTTAGAAAGCATAAATTTAAACAGAGAAAACAGAATGCCCTATTCATGACGGTCTGACTTTTTGCCATCTCTTAATGGATCTTTACATTAAGAAAAAGATTCCAGTAGGAAGAATAGCGAAAATTCACGGTTGTAAGATTTGGAAAGCAGAATCCTACATTTGTTAGTCATATTAAAACACATGTCGTCAAGCTAACACCTTTCTCAAGATGCTTATATACAATACAAATATTGGGAAAAACCCTGGTAGCTTACTTTTACATATAGTATCAGTAAGAGACATCGTTCCTCATGTAACACTTTACATTTTTACCTCTTTGCCCAGGTTGAATCAATCAGATTGTCACTGTATTTTAGGATTGCCTTAGGTCATGCAATCATATTAATATAATGGATGAAATTAATATTACTGTCAAGTCCTCCCAGTTTTTATACATTAATTTTATTAGACATCTTGTAACAAGGAAAAAATGCCAAACAAATGTATAAGTAATTCAGTAGCCATTTTAACAGTCAAAAGTCTTTCACTTTTCAGTGAAAGTGTAATATTTGAATGAACATTTCCTTTAAACCAATATGCCTTCAGGTTTGTTTTGCTGCAGCAGCCGTGAGACTGCTCCATTTTCCTTCTGTGTGGCAAGTGACCTTTACTAAATACCTGCCACTCAGTAGCTTTTAACTTTTTTTGACTTCCAGGCAGTTTGCATTTCTTTATCCTTACAGCCCATCAGGCTATGATTGCTCATGCATCCTAGGGCACAGTATTAGCTCTCTGCACATCAGACCCCTCTCTCTTCCTTAAACCGCCTTCTGTTTAAGACACTAATCAAATCTCTGCAGAACAGCTCTTTGCACTCCAAATAGCTAGCTGAGGTTGTTATGTATTGACAGGACATATTTCTCATCCCATTCATGGGAGTTACGAGTAGCAGGTGTTATTATTTCATCTCTTCTTATAATCCAGAGAATGAAAGAGCAAGAATGCTGTTTGAATGCAGATAACTCTCACGGCAGTCAAATGTGTTATAAATACGCTACTGAGGCAGATTCACACATTGTAAAATTAAAACAAATAGAAATCCTCCAGAGATTGGGGTGAATACCTAAGATGCTGTTAGACTGAAAAATTCGTGTTCCACAAACAGGCTAACTGCATTTCTTGCCATATGCCAGCACATTTTCTGCCTATCAGAAAGACTTGGCTGGAACATGAATGGAATTTCCCTGAGCACTTCCAATGGCTAAGATTCCTCTTTTAATCTCCCAGCACCCGCCCCCTTCTCAAATGTTTGTATATATCCGCACCATGTAAAGTAAAGCAAAGCTACTGGTGATTTTCAAGGCTGCCCATCTTGATTTTTTGCCTAACCTAACAGCTTATGTTATTACACAAACATGTACAGCCATTTCTGATAGCACATGCTCAGGCAGAGCAGTTCCAGGTTTAGGCGTAGGAAGTGACTATCAGTGTTGGTACCTATCTGGTTCATACAACGTTATCAGCCTGGAATATAGTTCACAATAAGCACCAGTGTATAACAGCCCTCATCTACTTTCCCATTTCTTAATCTTACAGCGCAAAATTCAATATTGACAGTTATCATCACCTGCTACAGAGTAATCCCCAGTTCCTTGTTTACCCAAACAATCTTTCAGTCCATTCCAAGTGCTGGGCAAATGACTTATCAAAATGACAGTAACAAAGCACTTAGTTCTAAAAGCTCAAATGTTTACTTTGCTCAAATGTAACAATGCTCAAATATAACAATGCAAAAAAATGTTACCACTCAAGAAGTCTTTAGAATCCAAAACCTTCGCACCCTTTGTAGAAACTCCAGTGCTTTTCCATTACAGGGCATGGTAGAAACTCCTCTTTACATACCATTACTATCTCACTGAACTGAAGAAAATGTGTCAGACTTCCACCTGAGTTGAACTGGACAGAAGAGCCTGTTGAGAATGAATGCAAATGATTACAGTCTATATTAGAGTAATGGAAAGCAATCACTGGCACTCTTATCCAGAGAGGTTTTGACAGCTCATTAGAACCACATAAGCATTAGAGATCCCTAGGAATCTGTAACGCGTCCTAAGAATCTTGTAGCGTAAAGCCCCGGCCATCTTACCAGTATCTCTCACTTGCACCCAAACTTCAGTGAGACAAGGGCAATACTACACTTTGTGGTGCTCAGGGTGAGAAGTCAACCATCCTGGCTGCTTCCAATTATGAAACAGGAAAATGCCGCTGTTCTTCAGCATTGCTTAAATTTCACATATTATGTCTACGAAGGGTTAAGTTTAGTGTACTTCCCCAAAATTAAGGAATGCTTCTCACAGGGAATGCCCTTTCTACAGCCCCCAAAAGACCATATAAAAGTAAGGTGTACACCTGTATACAAGAAATTGCAGGACTGAACAATGGGTATTTGCAATATTTAAATATCTGCTGGACTGAAGCAACTATTGTAAGACATAAACTTCAGGCACTTGTGACAGTGCAGGAGAAGCTGAATTTTTAGTTTTCACTGTTAAAATCAGTAACAAAGTAACACAGTAAAGATCCAGCAGTAAAAAATGTTACATTTTCTCATAACAGCACAGACTCCAAAAGGCCCTTGCCACTGTTGTTTTCAGTTACTTGCTTTTGTTCCTCTTTCATCCACGCTTTCTCCCTTTGGTACCCTTGCACAAAATATCAGAGCTGCTGAGCTGCCACAACCAGCCCCACGCAGAAACTGACAGTGAGGGCAGAATTGTCACATGTAGCAGCAGACCTTATGAAGAGAGGGAGGGCTGTCATGAAAGTAGGGGCAGCCTCTGTTTAAAAAAAAAAAAACAAACCCAAACAAAAACCAGTGCTCAGACACCACTCAAATGTCTTGAGAAGCAAAACAGGATAGGTATTTCAGGATGATTAGATCAGTCAAGATAAATCCTTGTCAAAATGCAGAGAAAAGATGTCTGAAGGGACACCAGTTGGTCATTTATCTTGCACTTATGGTTACCATGTGCCATCCCAAGAGTTTGTCTTTCTATGTTACCACATTTTTCCAGTTGTGTCACCTACACTGATTCCAAAATGCAAAATATATTCGCTAAACTGACATCATCGTTAGGTCCCGATGCTAAAACTATCAGTCTATCCTGTAGGTATTAGATTCCATGCCTCGGTGAGGATATCCCTGCCATTTCCTGACTTCCAGGAGCTCACCACCCAAAGCAGCAAAGTGGCAAATTGCCACTAGAAGCATGAGGTCTGTGTTCAGAAATGCAAATACAGAGTCTTGTGCGTGAGGATGCATGTTGTTTCACGCCCATGTCATTCACAGCAAAACTTGTGACTCCAGTGAGAACACAATTGCATGCAGTATCTTAGGCCCTCAGTGCATCTTCAGTATGCTTGTGCCATAACACAGCACATAATGGAACAAAAAGCATGATCTGATGTCTAGGGTATATGAAAGTACCTCAGACTGTAACAAAGATGGGCAGGCTGAATACAAGTCCCACCCGAGAAGTTATATCATGAAGTTCCGCACAGAGTCTTTATCTCTTACAAAGGAGCGGTCAGTCACACCAGAAAAAGTCAACTTATACACACTCATCTTGAAGTGATGTTTCAAAGGGCATAAACAGGAATGCTTGGATGGGAAGTCACAAAATAGTTTTAAGGACACCTTCAGGTAACAATGATCTTACTTGTAAGTCTGGGAATTTTTTTATAAAATAAACTGTCAGAAACTGAGTTGAAACATTGTCATTAATACTGAGTCTATAGTGACACGACAGGCATGACTTCAACCTCTTCTGATTTGTTGAAAAAAGCTTTTTTGTCCTGAAATGTTGACATTTTGTATGTAAGTACAGGAAAATTTCTTGGCAAGGTCTGAAGTACATATAACATCCTGTTCTGAGAGACCATAATTGGAGAAAAGACATTCATTTCTTACTTTGGAAATGCTCCTCTCAGCACTCTCACTGCAATATTCTACCTTATTTACTAAAAATTCTCAACTCATTTGAAAGTGTAATAAAGATATGACCAAATAAATCTATTGAAATAACTTTTTTCAGCAGTTGACAGCTCGCTTTGTCAATTACTTTGGGTCAAATTAAAGTTTTGCCTATTGGGATTAAGATTTTGTAGATTCAGTATCAGCATTCTACCATAAATACAACTTTAGTTGAGTGAATAATTAAAATCTCGACTCTCTCTAATCTCTACCTTTCACTAATTTTAGAGAACAGTCAACAGTTAGCAAAAGTACAGTAATTTATATATCCCAAAGCTGTCCTGCTCAGTTCTGACATCACTGTTTGATATCAAAGTTTCCATATCCATAGACAATATTTTTTCCCCAGCAGGGATGGATCAGTATTTGAACATTTAGTCCCTGTTCTTCCTCCATATTCTGACACAGCTGACTAATGTCCTCCCCATTTCCATTTTTCTTTCTCAATTCTTTTTCCCTCTTCTCTCTCCCTTTGTTTACTATTATTATTAATCTTTTAATACCCACTTTGATGTTTCCATCCTCCCTTCTGCTGTCTGTTAACTCTCATCCCCTTACAAAAGACCAGCAGTTTACAGACTGTAAGGAGCAGAGAAAGGCTCCCATACTGCTATCCAAAACTCATCTTAGTGCCTCAGGTACAGAAGAAAGCTTAGCAAGGTAGAACACACAGGCAGGATCTTTCTCTGCTTTCCTACCCTTGCTGTCCTGTTAGGTGGTCTCAGTTTTCTGCCATCTTCATGAACTACAAGATAAAGTATCAATCAGTTACAGTATCAGAATGAACTTTTTTTTCCATAAATCTGGGGACAACACATGTTGACTCTCGGTACTTTTTCCATCCTGCTTGCCAATAGCTTTTCTGTCTTTGTTGGCATCTATTTTACCCTTACAGTTTTTAAGCCATTCTAAATGTGTTGCAACTTGTGTTTCCATTTTGTTACACCTTCACAAGACCTGTCTCTGTGGCAGATAAGAACTTGGAAATTGTATTTAAGGAGAATTCCTGTTAGTGGCGCAACTATATAAATGTCCGACCAGAATCTCCATTGCATGAAGGTTAGTCACCGAAGATTGCCACTTCTGTGCAGAGACACCATTCTCTGATCATTCCAATAGCCCCTGAAAGATCAGTTTTAGAAAATGGCTATTCTACCAGTACCCTCCTTATTTTTTCCAAGCAAGAAAGTGCTGGAACTATCTAGAGATATGGTTAAGCATTTTATAACTATTTTACTTCTGTAAATTATTTGTAAAAGGAATTTAAATGCTCTTGCAGTTTAAGCCACATATTTGAGTCAATTTACAGGTATCAGTAAATCCAGTTTCAATACTTCTGTAAAACGGGTAAAGATTATTATCACATCTGAGGGAAAGCCGAACTGATTTGCAGTATCTGTGGCAAGATCAGAGGAAATGTTATTCTTCTGACTCAAACAGATCAGGTTCAGTGCAGCTAGTCTGGATGTGGGCTACAGATGTGTAAGCAAAGAAAAGATCTAAGAACAACACACTTAAAGGTGACAGCATTTGATCTAGAGGGCCACAAGGGAGTATTTAGGAATAAAAATCTGTCTTAAGAGCTTTCAAGTTTCTTGCGCCTTATCCATGCTCCTCTCAAGAACTTAGAAACAGAGAAGACCAGTCACAATCCAGGAGTCCCAAAAGGCACTGTCCATTCAGACCAAGTAAGGTCTTAGAACTGACAGCCAGCGCCTTGCATAAACAACATTTTTGGATCCTCCGACTCCTTTTAAAAGGCTGCTACTCAACTAGAGCATATGAATTCTGTCCATGCTAGTGGCAATTTTGAAAAGAACTTTTCTTTCAGCTGATCGAGACCTGGCATCTTCGAAAAAGAGATGTCTGTGGATTGTAAGACTGTATCTGTCTCTGACAAAATACGATGCTTCCCTGGTAATTCTCCCCCGCCCCCAACTCAAAATGCCTTTGCATTTCTCCAGGTCTCTCCACAGTTCTTGATTCACTTCATGTGATACAGATCTTAACTCTTCTTTCCTCCTGCGAATGCTGGAGTCCAAGGTCTCTGCCTTTACAAGCCAGTCAGTAAGGAATGATCTTTTTCTAACAATCAGACATACCATGCCAGTCAGGCACCTGAAGTTAAGGTGTCCATCCCCTAAAAGATACAGGCCAGCAGGGATTTTGGTTAATTGCTTTCTGATCCTTTGTGTCCACCCCTATCCCAATTTTGAAAGTACTTTTTCCCTAAGTATTAATTTATCAAATGATCCTAAATTACACATGCTGCGTTTTTGGTATTGGTAGTTACGACCCTTTGAAAAAAATCAAAGGTTATTCATAACATCTTATGAAATAAATAAATAATTTTAGTTCAGAAGCTACCTAATGGACTAGAATGACCAGATACTTAATAGCATAGCTATAACAGTACCAAAAGGACTTAGAGCACCTTCTAATAGTCCCTTAGCCTACAATTCTTTCCTTCACATATCAGACATGACTCACCATTTGTAGGTTCAGTTCATCATTTTCTCAACTAGAATTTGTATAGCAATAACATGGAACTTAATTCATACTTTCACAAATAATTATTCTATGCTGTTGCTTCTAGATATAATGCCAGATTTGAGAAAGTAACATTTCCTCCTACACTCAATAAAGAAAGGTATTCCTCAGAAGTTCAATCTTCCTTTTTGTACTCCAGTGAGATTGGCAAACGCAATGTCATAAAGCAGAAGAAAAGATGAGGTGTCTAGAATAACTCTTCTTTGAAAGTTATTTCATAACAGTGGCCTTTCTTGTTACCCTCTGTGTATCTGCATGGACAAAGGACTCACAGGCATGATTAAAGATCAAGAATTCATGCCTTCTATTCCAAAGCATCAGTTTCAAGGTTTATGCTGAGATCTCTTTAATTATTTTATGTTTCATGTGGCAGGTAGTAATGTTCTC